ACACACCCCGAGCAGACCAACAAAAAACCGTAAAATTATACCATCTTGCAGCATTTTTTTTTGTTGCTTTTGTTCCGTTGTTGTTTTCTACCTTAAATATAATTACACGAAAGCCACGCAATTAATTTTGTTTTACGTAAAGCAAACAAACAATATGCAAAGATGAAAATATACAAAAATAAATAAATAAAACACGTGAGTGTAGATAAGATAAGTAACTGTTGTTTTCGTAGTCTATCATCATCGGAGGCTTGCATGCATGGCAAAATTAGGTCTCTAATGACGTGTCGAACAGGTTTTTGATGATGGCACATTAAGTATATAACGTACATTGTAGATAAACGCTTATATATAGATATATGTATAAGAATATGTGTATATATAGTTTGTATGTATATATATATATGAATATACAATGATGAAGGCATGAGACGAGGAAAGCGATAATACATAAACAGAACCGAAAACAAACTGGAACCGTTTGTTTGGTTTTGTGATTTATCTCTAGAAAAAGTATCGAGTTACAGAGCACATGAATTAGAGTCCTGGCGTCAAGCTGTCTGGTATTCAAGGACAGTTTGAAATGAGAGGAAAAAAATATACGAAGCAGTAGATAAAAACATGCGCGTACGAACGCTTCAATCTGTATTTTATCTTTCTATACAAACACTGTTGAAAATTCTGAACAACTTTCCCGCGTGAATGCATCAACTTAATACTTTAACATGTTTGTAATTATAATTTTCTATTAAAATTGATATATTTTTAAAGTTTTACTTTAAATTTAACGTTTAAGAAATTTATTTTCAAAATAATTTATATTTTTTCAAAAGTTTTTCTTAATTTGATATTTTTTATATAATATAAATTGAATACAATTTCTTTACGAAATCTTATATAAGTCTGTAGAAGATATAAAAAGTTATTTATACATAATTTAATTAAATCAAATACTGATGTCCCCTAACTTACGAACTAGTTATGTTCCAAAGGATTGTTCGTAAGTTGAATTTGTTCGTAAGTCGGGGAATTTGAACAAATTCAAAATATACTTATCTTACCACACTTTATCATAGTTTTTACTTTTATATATGTTAAATTCCGTATTACTGACTGCATACATTTGAAAAAATAGATTAAAATAAACAAAATACGTACTTAAATATACTTTTCAATGCAATTATTTAATAAAAAATTAGAAAAAAAGCAACAAAACAGATGGCATCTTCCAAAAATATTATATTTTATTAAAGAAATTATAAATTTTTGCTTGGACAGTTAATTATTATTATAACTTTATATCTCCTTGTAACAATTTAGAGTTTCTAGAATTTTGTTCGTAAGTCGGGAATACTTTCATTTGTAGACATTGATACAAGTATGAATGTAAATTATTTTAGAAATAAAAGTAAATGGAAAAAAAATATTTACAAAAATATCATTAATTTTACAAAATTTGATTGAAGTAAATATATATTATATCTAGTTTCAAAATAGAATTTTCTTAAAAAAAATATAAGAATAAAATGGATTAGAAAATGTTATAAAATTTCTGATCTAAATTTAAAATATGATTAAATTAAAAAAAAATTGTTAAAAATAGAATCTTCTGCTTTTATTCTTTACCAACACATATTGTAAACTTGAGAAGTACCGTTATAATTTTGGTGTTTCTTTTATGATCTTTTGTACATTACATAATTATTTCCCAATAGTCATTAGTCCTTTGCAACAATTCAATTTAGTTTTATTATTATGTTAAGTTTATAATTTATTTAACAATTTTTATTGGCTGATTTAGGACCAAAGGGCTAAAGTTTATATTATGTTTGTTGCAATAAATATTATTATTAAAATTTTCTTAATACGTTTCTTTTAAAGATATTTTCTATTAATAAAAAAAATAATAAATAAGAATATTGGATTATTTTCTGAAAAATAATGTGAAGAAAGGAAATGGATATATATTTTTTTCTGTGGAAAGAAAACTTGTGATTGATTTGGTGTGAACAAAAATAAAAAAAGAAAAACTACAAATACCTTCGGCATGTTTACATTTATTCGACAAGAAACGAGAAAACAAAAGTTGAAAAAAATATATATATAACTGAAGAGAAAATTCAAAATTATAATAATATATATGTGTATGTATAATAACGTTCATATATGCAGCAGTAATATAATAATATATATATATATGTATAAAAATCATAATGTACGATCGTTTACTTGTTGAAAGTGAACAACGTTTGCACGATTGAAAGACTGTCGGTAGCGCAGACCGTGAGACTTGGCCGAATACAATAACTGCTCCAGTTCCATCGTCGTAATATAACGACTGTAGTAGCGTTCCTTAAAAAAAACACTTTCCTGGAAAAGCGAAATTCTCAGGAACGAGACTACTCGGAGAACACGCAGCAGCACAATCATAATCATAATAGTAGTCACAATAATAAAAAAAAATATGTAATATATATATAAAAACATAGTAATAATGATAATAATAGTGTTATGCAATCATATAATTATTATATTAAGGTATAAGTTTCTATATAAACATGTATAAAACCTATATGATAGTACAAAAATGAAGTTCGGGTTGGCGCGGTTTTTTTTTTGGTTCCTTGGAAACGCAAAGGTCGAAATGAAAGCATCAGAACAAATCAAACAGAATCGAAAAACATATACATTTACATTACGCAATATTCATATATATATAGAGAGATAGTGAGAATATTTTTGCTATAAAGCGGATCTATTAATTCATATAATTTTTTTCACTTGGTCTGGGGGATTAGGTAGGTCCTTGTTACGGGTTCCGGTGCGGATAAAAGGATACTTCGCTCCTTCGTTTCTTCTCTTTTTCTCATTCACAACATCATCTCCATCATTGTCAATATATATATATATATAATTCTACGGCCTCGAGCACCGGGCCCTTGGTCCAGGCTCAGGTAATGTACAAAAGGCAAATATACTTTTCTTACACGATATAATACAAATCTGTGTATGGCATATTCAGTTTATAAAATCAAATATATATATAAAATAATAATAATAAACAAATAACACACTAGACAATAATCTTATTATTTTTTTCTCTCCACTTTCCACATTCCTCCACTCGTCGTCATCATCATCATCATATATATTTAATAAAAATACGTTTATTATTTTTTATATATATACGTAGATATGCAATTGGCAACAAATAATTATTTCTTTTCTTTCGTTTCGTTGCGTTCACATGGATATATTTAAAAAGTAATAAAGGTATTGGACACCTCTAGTCAACGCTACAACAAAACGACTAATCTGACTAGGGAACAAAAAAAATTATAATAATTACAAACGAAAACATTCTGTAGAAATGTATTTGGGAGATCAGTTATAACAGGATTATACGTCGGCAAATCACAGAGACGCTTTGAAGAGCGATCTACAGACGCAGCTCTCTTACCTAATTTTACTATACTATATATATAAAGTATATAAAAAAAACGTTTCTAATCTAATTACAATTGCTTTAAAATTCTTTAAAAATATCAGCATTCTATATTTATACACATCTTCTTCAAATATATATATATTATATATCATATCAATATGTAATTCCTAAATTACGGATTATATAATAAAACTGTTCTTACGGCCAGGCGATACGAGTTACAAAGTAATTTGTCTTCATCTTGGTATGGCGTGGACGTAAGAAAAATATGAAATGTACACAGAATCGAAAATAAACACATCGTAAGGGTTTAAAAACAAAAGCTATAGACACGCATTTATAGTTGTGTTTGGCCGAAACAAAATAATTTAAGAAAATAATAAACAAACAAAAAAAAAACAAAGAGAAAATAATAAACACAGTGTGGGAAGTCGCAAACCTGAACCCACGATCATATGTACATAGTTCAGGTGCGGGCTGGGATCTTGGGCACTTGGGGTTGGCACGCGTCCAGCATTCGCCGCACCACGCTATTCTAACTACGGAGATCATTTGAAAACTTTTTAAGGGCAGGCACAGCGAGAGTACAAAAAAAAACAACAAAACAAAATCAGTACCTTACACACTTATTCCTTTAAAAACGAAACAAAAAATAATAATAAAAAAATAAAAATCATAAAATATTATACAGATTGGGAAAAATTACTAGAGAAAATCGTCATCATCATCATCGAGAGAAACTCGTGGAAAACGAAACGAGAAAACAAAAAATAATAAAAGTAAATTCTTTAAGGACGCCCAACTCTACTCCTGCTTGGCACGATTCAATCTTTGGCGCTAGTACTGAATCAAACTTTTCCCAAAATTAAATTAATGAAATAATAAAATAAAATAATGCTATGTACAATAATTACAAGTTGACAATATAATAGATATATACGTTATAATTTTTTTTTCTTTCCCTCGAAATTATTTAATAGCTAGTACACAAAAAAAATATATAAACAAACACAAAATAATAATAAAAGAAAAAAATTCCTGAGAGAATGGCGGGGGCGCGCGAGCTGGTGACTCGTCGGCGACAGTGAACCGCCCTTTTAAGAAATGAGATCAACGTTTGATTAGCTCTGCTCTCTTTGGAACTGACAAATTCTTATGTAAAGAAAACAAAACACGAATAATAAAAAAAATAAAATAATTAAACAAAAATAATGATTAAAAAAAAATAATAATAATAAACACACGTAAGTAAAGAAGAATCATGTTGCGTAATGATCGGTTAATTTAACGCGCGTTTCGCTCGGCGCGGCCTACGTACGAATCCTAAGAACACTCGAATATACACATCATATGAAAATAATTATATGTTACGTTATTATATATGTATCAAAGATTAAGACAATTAAATTAAATGAAGTAAATATATATATATGTATGTAAATGTTAATTAAAGAGACACACCGAAATAATATAGAGATATATATATACACATATATTTGTATGTAACGAAACGAATTTAAAAAATAATATTAATAATTAGAGTAATTGTGTGTATATGAATGTATATATATATTTGTATATTCTTTTGGGGATGGCGGGAATCTTTACGTTACTAATTACGAATATAAACTATTATAGATAATATATTATAGAATCACTTCCGTTGAAATCACTGAAGCTTTGGGTGAGTGGTTGACGGTCGGGAAAGGGCCTTGCAAAGTTACCGTGCACGGAACATGTACCAGCCCACGGCGCAGATGACCGCCGTCCAGATGGATGTTTTGATGGGCGACGGGACGAGAGTGGACAGGAGGCCGTCGCCGTCGCAGGCGGTTCTTGTCTTCGGCCGCTGCGAAGAAGGATCGTCGTCCTACACCGATCGAAAATCGAGGGGTAAAGAGAAAGAAAGAGAAAAAAAAAACACGAATTTAACATTTGAAGGTTGAACGACGGAGACGGATGGATGCGACGTGTTTCGAGGGGTCTCTAGGTATGCATTTATCCTCCAAGAAACTGTCGATTTTGAAGTAATATGTTGTGCGGACTTACCTCTGAATAATCTTGCGGCTGGTCGATGGGGGTTTGCATGTTGGCGATCTTGGGTACCTTGCAGCAGGAGGACTCCGAGGTTGTTCTCTGCCTCCGACCAGGAATCGCCGATGCTTCGATGGTCTGCAGAGATACATCTGTCCTCTCTCCGACGACATCGGGTAACGGGAGTAGATTGCGACTGAGACGCTCTAGGACGTTGGGATGAGGTCCAAAAGCCTCGCGGATCCGCTGAGGATTCAACGATGACCCTAGAATAGGCAAAAGGGTTTTTTTGAAGGCACTTCTTTACGAGGCAAGGTACACAACAATAATATCTGTCTATCTTTTTTCTCTCTGCTTCTATCTCTTTGCAGTCTACATAGTCATCCTCGGTGGCGGGAACACAGCTGTTTGATTAGAGCTACTACGAATCGATTGCACATGCACATTGCGCGTTACAAGGCCACTCGTAAAAGGTTTTGTTGCACAATAACTATTTTTGCTTGGAAGTACAACCACTAAAAGAGCAGGGCAGGCATGCGCGTCTATCATTTTAGAGCCGTTCTTCAGATGGGATGTTTATCGCAGCTAATGAGAGTACTCCGATTGAACTTGTCTATTTGCTAGCACTGGGAGAATTGGAATGGTAGAGCAGTACTAGGCGGCAAAACACTCCACGGTCTAAGCTTGGTGCATTTATATCCATGGCGTGTCTTGGGGGGACGTTTTCACATCTCGGACCTGTCCGTACTTGTTTCACTGGTCCAGCAGCGGGAATGATAGTTTAGAAGATGCATATTGCCTGTTACGTTGTAGTTCCGAGTTAAACGAGGCAGCGTCTCGCGCCCGACCCTGAACCCTGGATGGCGACATGGCGAGAGTCTTCCTTCTAAGCAACAGGTCCACAAAACACTCCGGATCACATACGCAGCACCAGATACGGAAAACAGTCAAGAAGGAAACTTTCCCTCGCGTTTTTCCATGTCCAGCAAAATTCGAAACAAAGCACGTGCTTACAACCCCCAGAGCAATTGCATTGATAATTTGAATTTATTTTAGTAAAATTTGATTTTTTTCCGAGCAAATGTATTTTAGAGCGTTCAACGAGCTAAGTCGATGATCGAGATGAGATAGCAGATCAAACAGAATTTTTCTAAAGTTTTGTAAACTAGCTTACCTCTTGAAGCGAATTGGATGTGTGAATGCACTCGTCGTAAACAAATAATTGCATCGCACAGTTGGGAGAGAAGTTCGTTCAACGCTGGGTCACCTTCTTCGTCGTTCAGCACATCAAATGGTATAGCCATGGTGGAGGAAACAAAATAATACAAATAATATACAACTCGTCCCACCGCCCGGTTTTAGCTAATGTCTGTCTTCCACACGGATCTAAACTAACTGAGAAGAACTTCTTCGGATCGGGTACGTTCACTTCAGAATGCAAACGGGGGTATACAAAAATCTTTCAGAGTTGGGTGTACCGCGCAAACTGAAGAACTGTGCTGGTACGACCTGCTCATGCGACGACCGAACGTGTTTTGACTGCACTTCGAGCACATGCACTAGCCATCAGGACTTTTTCTATCTCACCGACGTCGGCGTCGCTCGGGCGTCGTCGGTTCATAGCACCGTAGATGGGGGGCAATTGGTCGGAAATGTTTTACGTAACCACGCCCCAAACGCGAGAAGCGTCCACTATATACAAACATGTATTCGCTATATACACACACTCACATTTATACACATTTACACATACTCATAAACACAAAAGCACAGAAAAGAACATTATTTTGTTGTCCTCTAAACAATATTGCTATTGCATCACCATTTTATAAAGTTGACAAAGCAAATGTTAAAAAAAATAAACTTAACTTGCAAAATTACTAATTACACCAGTAAACTTAGATACGATTATAACCGTTTGTTTCTATCCTCAACTTTCAGTTTTTCAAATTGCATCAGCAAGAAGAGAGTGCTTCTTCCATTTGAAGTTTGCAAAACGGTATTGGAAGGAAGGATTACAACCCGAACGTTCGTCGCGCGCTGCAACTGCGATGATTCACGCTGCCATCAGAAAATAATCAACCTAAAAATAGCAGCTATTTTTAGAGACCTGGTTCGGTTATGTTATGAAGCTGATAAGCCAGATCGGAACAATAATATCCAGTCTCGCATACTATTGTCGCTTCCTCCAGATCTGTACTTCACCTCCAGCATCACCGCAAGGCATCATACGTTGTTCTTCTTCTTGTTATTGCTGTTGTCTTTTCCTTCTTTTCGATTCTCTGTTGCATGTTGTTCGTTTTTATTATTATTATTTTTTATATTTTTATTTATTCCCCCCCCGTGTGAGTGTGTGTGTGCCTTTTTTTTTATTTCATTTTCATTTCGTAAAGACGCTGGGCACGTGTAAAATATCACCTTACAATAGGCGTACATAAGAAACCCATTTTTGATTTTTCAGAACCGGTTTCGTATATCTATATATATATAAAAAAAATACAGCCCAGATTCGACTCCGATACCCCCGACGCTACTCGCCGATACTATACTACTATATACAGTGTGACCAAGTAATATCCCCTCACCACCCCTCAACCAACACGAATCGATTACCATCAGCAACCTAAATCAAAAATTGCAACTAATCTGTCAAATTATCAATATTTTATTTAAACCATTTACCATAGATCACAAAGTTAAAAAAAATAATCTATTCACATTTATTAACAAAATTTGTTAATAACAATTATATAAATTAAACATAATTAAATTTGAGAAATATACTGCTTTTATTAAATTTAAATAAAATTAAGTAAATCATTAAAACAATTATGTTTTGTTTACAATTTTTAAATAAAAATAATTATTACTTATTTTTCATAAATTAATGCAAAGAATTATCTTTGAAAGTGTAGTAGATTCGTTTATACATGGAGTATGTTTGTCCTGCGTAGTCGATGCATATAATACGAGTTTCAAACCACGGATGTCGCCACGAGTATTTACTGAAAATGATACTACACTCACTCATAAGCTTTCGAACTGTGTCTACTACATTCGCTACTCACTGAATCGTGTATTGCACATATCTAACACAAAAATATAGATAAAATCGCCAACGTTTATTATTGACAGTCATTTGTACATATAATCTAAATTTAATTTCTTAATATATTTAATCATGAAAATATCGGATTAATAGTTAAATAACATAATTTAACTGCCTTGAGCAACTGAATCATTATATAAATAGGTAAAGGCAAAAGGTCCCAATGGAATCATTAATCAAACACCTTTTATCTAGAAGATTATCACGAGATTCAATGTTCTTGACTTGCCGTCGTGTTTCTGGTAGGAAAACTTCGTAATAGCTAAGTTTGAAATAAACATCTTTTTTTTTTGTTTTTGATTAAATTTATTTCAATTATATATTTGATTTAATTACAAACTATTATTGGCTTTTAATTTCAAAATAAAAATATTTTTTGTTGTATTTTATTTTGATAATTTTATTGATGTCATGAAATAAATGCGTATTCATTTGTAATTAATCTAATTATTATTGCGTGTATGCTTTTAATTTCAATATAAAAGTATACGTGAGAGATGGGCAGACGGAAAAAAATAATTGCATAATGTTTATTTATTTAGTGGAATGGGAGAGACGTGGAGATAGTAGAAAGCATAATAAAACTACGCCAACAACACGGAACGGAATAAGAACAAATAATAACAGACAAAGCTATAGTATATAAAGACAGGTCAAAACCTGTCCATATACCGTGATTGTTTTAACCAACTTTGAGCGCAGGTGTTCGTTCCTTGTTCGCTCTTACTCCCTTTCAGTATCTCCTTTTCTTTTATTTTTGGTCAGAGTCTGGTATAGGACTCCTTTTCTTTTTATTTTTCTGTTTTTTTTTTTTTGGACAGACTCTGACCAGAAATAAAAGAAAGCGAGAGGCGAGTTGTGAGGAAGATCGGGTGGGACAGAGACGGATTACCAAAATGGTGAGGGGTTGAGGGGATTCCGGTGGTGGCGACACGGTGAGATCCTAGACAGCACAAAACAGGCAAATTGTGACGATGGCTGCAGATAATGGAGCATCATAGCATTATTGCGACTCGCATGCATGATTTCCCTTTTTTCCTTCCACTATTTGTATAGAATTATAAATGTTTTGATATGATAATGTTATCACATATGTTCCCTTTATTAAACAAACACAAGCGTATCTGGTGTGATTCGTCAGCTGACCCGATCCTGATCTTGCCTGTGGATGATACACTTCGCACACAATCCGACATCATCGAGGAATAATACATTCCATATTCGCATATTAATAACAATCATCTCTAACATCATCATAAACAAAAAAAAAATATCAACATATCCTACCTTAAATTATTTATTACAAGTTATTATTTGTTTGGAGATGCTACACTTGTTTAAACAAGTTTTTCGTTTCTGAAATCCCATTATAAAAAAAATATAGATAAAATATAATTATGATTTCATAATAATAATTTACTGTAAATTCAAGGCTTATTAAAAATAATAATTAAATTCACTATTTAAATACGAAAAAATTTCATAATTATACATTTTTTTATTTATATAGTATATTATTTAAGCAAACAATAAAAAAGTACAGCATTATATGAAACAAAAATAATATTTTCTGATAAAATATTAGCTTTATCAACTCAAATACTTATGTTTATCAATTATTTTTTTTATAATACAAGTTCTTAGAAAAAATATGTATTTTCTGAAATGTTCATATTTTATTATACAGATTTATGTTAGTATTTGTATATACAGGTGTCCCCCAAATTACGAACAAAATTCTCTAACTTACGAACAACCGTTTGGAATGAAATTAGTTCGTAATTATTATTAGTTTATATGTGTATAAATTAATAATTATTTAATATATTTTTTTTGTGAATTGAATAATCAATTATATTTTACATGGATTTTTCGATTACAGGCAAATTTTCTTTATTTCTTCGTTTCTTGAGATATATAAATCTTTTTATGTGATTCCAGTAATAGCGCAATAAAATATTCGATTACTTTGATATCAAAATATAAAACAAATCCAATAAACAATAAATCAAAAAGATCATAAATAATTAATTAAGTATTTAGTAGTCAGCTGCAATCAACAAATGTAAACAAAATTGTTCTGCGAAATATTTCTTGGAATTGTTTAAAAACAACATTCACTAATAAAACCTCGATTAGTTCGAGATTAAGTGAATATAAAATAAATAAGATTAATGTAACGAAAATAATGTTATCTAATAAAACCTTATTTAAGACCGGACTAAACGAATTAAATAACTGAACCAAAAAAATGGAAAATAAAGTTTTTAGTTAACTTTATTAATCCTGTAGGAAGGAATAATAACGAAATAATTATAATTTTAATAGATTTAATAATAACATAAGGAAATAACTGAAGAAGTGAGATTTTTTTCTTTACGAAATTGAATATCGGATGGGGTAGGAGTGTTAAAACGTCCAAGGTAATGGCGCAGTGTAAATTACTCATTTGCTTAATGGTTTTTCGACGGGCTTAAAAAATTCCGGCTCCGAAGCCGCAATTACCCGGAGTTATTACGTAATATGGAATCGTCCGGTCGGAGAGGTCTATCCTCCAGCTGAGGTTGTTCTCTACGCGCGCCCAACGGGATATATTGATAAGAGATAAACGAGTCGCTGTTGCGCGCCAACGGCTTTCGATCATGCCTATACTTCGGGTATTTCGAAGACGCGGCCTTAATATACATGTAGCCGAAAGACAATAAACCCGACCGCAGAAATAATAAAAGGATGACGGTTGGAAACCGCACTCGCATCTTCATCCTGATTTAATTTGTGATCATAATTTCGTTTCATCTGCTCCCTCTTTCCATTCGTTTCGTTTTCATACAAGTCATTTTGTTTCGTAGTTTTTCGTCCTTTTTATTTTTGTTTTATTTTCGGGGGGGATTTTCCTCACGATCCCCGCGCCCTTTCTTCGGCTGCCTGGCGGTTTTAATTGCCCAGATAAGGGATTCCTTTGGCGGTCCGCAGTTTCGGATCTTTTAAGTGTTATTACGTGTAACGAGCCTTTTGTTTCTTTGTATCGAATTAAAACGTAATTAAGTGTGAATTATTATCGCGCTTTTCACGGATTTTCGTATCCTGTCTCACTGTTTCTTTTAGTTTTATTTATTTATTTTATTTTTTCCTCTGTTTCCGAATCGCAAACAATAAATAAAATATAGAATATAATAATAATTTTGTATTTTGGAAATAATTTTTTTTACACGATTATTAGAAAAAAAAATCATTATAGAAGAAAGTCTACATTCGTAATTTATGCTTACAATTCTTGAGTGAACAAAAAAAAAGGATTGAATAAACTGGTGAGACAAGTAATCGTTCGATGTTTAATGCAAGTGTATATCCATGAGTCGTCCACCGCTGTGAAGTTGGCAATAACTTTGCAAAACTTGGCAAATTAAATAACTTTTATTGTCTAATATAAATTTGCGTTACAATGTTGTAAATCCAATGCATAATCTTACTATACACAAATACATATACATATATGCACAAGATTTATATAGAAATTGTGAATATGAAAATTACAATATATATTTTCAGGTATGAAATATAAAAGTCATTATTTTTTATTGCATACATTCTACATCTTTTTGTTAATTGAATAAAATTATAATTTTAATTATAATTAATTAGAGTTCAAAAAAAACAAAATCGTATTGATATATTTATTATAATATAAACAAATTTATTTTATAAAGAATTCATCAAAAATTGTTAATTAATTAAAAATAATT